ACGGCAACTGAAAACTATTCACCTTTATCTAAGATCCACAAAAACTTATACAACAACAACAAAGCCTTTTCCCACAAAAACTTATATAAGATGATTTGGTGCAAGCTCTGGATTAAATTAATCCAGAAACTCCAGAATCAGCAATGGTCTCCAGGATGAGGAGGAATGTACAAGAACAAGCCCACAGACAGGAGAAAGAAGGTGTAGTGAGAAGATAGAGGTGCCAAAGAACATGGTGGAGCCAACTATAAACAATAAGCCTAGGAAGGCAGAAATACAACATTTGCACATAGAGCCAAAAGACAAAGAGGAAGCAAAATCGAAGAGAATAGAGAGGGGTTAAGGATACCCAGGAATTAAGAATGAATCCAGAACAGAAATAACAGGAAGCATCACGATTGAAACCACTGAATAACTCAATTCCAAACACAAGACTAAAGGCAGATTTGAAAGGAATATATTTTCAACATCATTGAATGGCTAAGCTCTTGCAGTGGTCCTTTTACCTTGCAGGCATAATCTCTCCTTTTATCTTTAACAGGTGAATGACGCCTTCAGCATAACAGAACACCAGGTTAGTTAGAAAGGCTGTGAGACAAAGAAGCTATTTTCAAGAACTAGAGCAGGACGCAAAATAAAACATCAAGATCCACCTATGCACAGCTTCATGATGTGGGGAATCCCTTCGTAAAGGTTTCCTCTCCTTTGCCAAAGAGGACCCGCGGCGATCCTTAGAAATAGAAACTCTTGGTGGAGTTCGTTCCCGCCTGGTTTCAAGTGCACGCTTGCGCTCTCGCTCTCTCTCCTTCACCCGCCGCTCCAAAAGACGTTCTCGTTCACGCTCTCTTTCTCGTTCACGTTCGCGATCGCGTTCGCGTTCCCAATCCTTGTCCCTTTCTCTGTCTCTCTCTCTCTCACGCAAACGCTCCCGACGGCGCGCCTCCTCCATTAGCTCAAATTCTTGAAGATAACTAGCCCTGTCATCCTTGCGTTCATCAATTCGTGGATGACCACCATGAGACAAGCTGCTCGGATAATCTGACTCAAGTGATGGGCCACGGAGCCCTTTTCCCGTGGCATAGTCCCTACCAGGAGGTAAGCTCACTCCATAACCAGGATTTGAGGAACTTTGTGAAAACATGAGATCATCTGCATTTCTCCGTGGAGCTGCCCCTAATATTGATGGAGCGGGTTGTCCGCCATATGAAGAACCACTAAGCATCGATAAACTCCGTGGGTCAGCATCCATTCTTCCTCCAAAAGAAGTAAGATCTTGAGTGGGATGACGACTAGCGGCACCCCTTGCTGCAAGATAATCAGCTTGTCTGCCAGAAATGTGTTGCCACTCAGTCTAATTAGAAATATATCACCATCTAGCATTGCTGTGGACAGACTCATTATTAAGATTCAGATGATTTTGTTACTGAGAAAGGAAGAATGACGTCCTCTGCTATTAGTTAATGGGGAAGGAAAACAAACTACTAGTGATAATAACTGATCATGAAATGAAAACCAAGTTCCAATCACAAATGTAGCACAAAATCAGCAGATAAAAGTACCTTGCACTCCCATCAAGAGAAGCAGACTGCAGTGATTGAGATTTGAGCAATTGTTCTTGCCGAAGCAGCACCGCCTTATCAATGCGATCATAAATCTCGGACTGTTGAAAATTTGATGTGGAAACAAAAAAACTAAAAATCATGACTTATTCAAAGAGATACAAAGAAAATAACAAATTTTCTAAATTAAAAGATGAAAATGCAAAACCTGATGTTGAGGACCAAAACCAATGGAATCGGCATATCGACTAGTTGGTTCACCTTGCAAGTCCATCCCTATATAAGTACTATGACGTTCACCATATTGCCTTCTGTCTATCGCTGGATACTCAGGGGCCTTTTCACCATACAATTGATCCCCTTTATGACCATACCTATGACTTGAAGATGTGATATAGTCACCAGATGAGAACTTTGGCGAATCTGTTTTAGCTGAGGCATAGCCACCACGACCTTCCAAAACCGATGGTCCAGAAGCTTTAGTACTCATTGAAGGAACCTATGCACAAAACTCCAAATCAGGCACCAGATGGTTCAACAAACACTTCTCCACAAATCAAATGTAAGCTTGGTTGGGAGAACTACCACATGACTCAAACAGCAATTTCCATGAAACCAGCCGTGCGAATACCACCAAAATACATTTAAGTGAAAAAAAAGGCAGAAAATTTAAGATTTTGAGGGACCGGGGTACACATTTAAGACATATAAGGCTTACCAAAAACCGGATGTGAAAAAAGCGAATGGACATTTAACGCATTGAAGGCTTACAAAAACTAGGAAAGCAGTAGGCGTGCAAATTACACTACCCAAGTCACTTTCCTATGGTCTTCTGTTATTCCACTCCACTTGTATGTGGGAAGTCTTAGGTTCAACTCCCGTTAATGGCAAGTTCGATACCTAATTATTACAGCAGGCCTATTGTGTGGCTTAACCCAAATCCCCTACCTCTTAGTGTAAAAAATATCATTTTATTAAAAAACCAGGTTCAAAAACTGGATGTGTTGTCAGTATTAAATTTCAACTTTATGAAGATATTAAAACAAATGAAAATTTGATTTATGCTTTCCTAAAGTTGAATCAGAATAAAAGGAAAGCAGAAAGGGAACAGAAAGGAAAACTATCGTGGAGATAACTGTGGAGTACAAAGGTTATATGACAGGTCATAATGTTACGAACTCCTAGGTAGCCTATTCTTCTTTGCAACATGTATCAGCGTAAAAATAAAGCTCACATTTCCAAATACACAAACACGAGTTATAGAAGAAATCCACAAACCTGAGTTGCGGTGCTCAAAGCAGCTGAACCATAGAGAGAACTGTACTGTCCCCCATAATGAGCTGCAGCTGAAGGGAGAGGTCTATAGGCATCAACTTCCTCCGAACTACCTAACATTGATGTATGCCGCGAAACCAATGGAATTTGCGAACTCCCGTCAGTCGCTCCAACTGGATTTCCAGAATAAGCAGCTCCCAGCTTCAAATATCACAATAAATAAGAATAAGATCAAAAAAGCCCCCTCTTTCCGCATGCTTACAAAAAACACCCGAATGTAATCAATTGGACGAAGAACAAAACAACTTAACGGAAATTCTTAAAACAACAAAGCGAAACGAAAATTTCCTATAAGGGAAAACAAAATACCACAATTTAAAACACACCCACTAAGAATAAATACAAAAATTCTGTAAAAAAAATTCAATCCCATGAAATAAATGAAAATTATATAACAATTGAAGTGCATAGGCTTACATTTTGGCCATATGCAGATTGACCACCATATGACTGTTGACCGTACGCATTATTCCCTCTGGAATACATGACGTCTCGAGTGCAACCCTAATTCAAAATAATTGAACAAATTAATCAATTGCAAGAAAAATACGCCAATTCGAATTCTGTACGGAAAATTCTGGCCAATAAGAGTAATGAATTTATAAAAAAAATTGATTAATCGAATAATTAAAAGTATAAATAGATGAAACAAACCCTAGGGGCGACGATTACTGAGGGGCTGACGAACGATTGAAGCTTTCTGTGATGGAGCAAACGAAAACCCTGAATCTCTGATTATTCTGAAGACTGGAAGACGAGACTCTGTTATTTCGTTTATCCGGGGTTAGGGTTCGCGGTTTTGACTTTTGACCATACTTGGTTTGGGCCTTGGTGGGTCGGCTTGTAATAATGGACGGGCCCAGATAAACTGGCCTTAGAGCCCTAAATGGGCCCGGTATATCTTTTATCATGGTTTGAAATTTATTTTAATTTGGGAAAAATTGCACATACGGAAAGTAATTTTTACACATTCTTATTAATCCCGACTATTGATTATATATCGTTTATTTAATTCGATGACCAAAAATAAAGATGAGTGTGTGAAAAGCTAAAAAGTGCATAAAATCACTTTCCTTGTGGTAGTTGAATTTGTTCAAGTTTTGAAATTATCGGCTGAACTAAAAAAAAATGGATACTTTGGATGTGATCCCTAATCCTTAACATTCTTTGACTAAAACATTAATGATATTCAAAGTTTGATCAAAGTTCCTTGACTTTGTACACCTCATTATATTACAATTAATATTTATATTTTTATAGTTTTGACATTAATTGTTTGATATTTTATGAGATTTATAATCTTATAAATCTGAAATACCTCATTATAATACAATTAGAAACGGTTACAATAAAAAAAATTCAAACATTTTGATTGAATAAATGGATAAAAACTATGTAAAAATAATAAATAATAAATAGCAAAAGAATGTACCCATAGTGTTAAAAAAAAGAGTTTTAACAAAAACCCTGCAATACTGTTCACTTTAACGAAAAACCACATTTTTTAAAAAGTCAAACCTGATATCATTCACTTTACCCTTTATTTTGTCCTTATCATTAAAACTCAAAGCTTTCAAGCCATTTTCATTAGTTTTTCTTTTAAAAAAATGGTACAAATAAAAGATTAAAAAATTATGAGTACAAATGAATTTTAAAAAAAATATAGGCGCTAAAAGAAATTAATACATAGGTACAAAATAAAACTAAAAGGAAAATACTACAAATTTAAAAAAAAAATGCAAATTAAAAGTGGGTACAAACTAAAATATAAATATATGATACAAAGTTTAAGTATAAAACATAAATATACCATATGTAATTTTTCTATCATTGATTAAATATACAATGTCAAGTAATGGTGTACACATGAGCACAAACACAAATAAAACTTTACAAAATATGGGTACAAATTAAAAATGAAAAGAAAATTGGTACAAATTAAGAATAGGTACAAACTAAAAATAAAAATATATGATAAAAAATTTAGCCATAAATATAAATATACTAATTTTAACATTTTTAACACTAAAGGAATATATTTAAAAATAAAAATATTTTATTATTCAAATAATTAATTATGTTATTAATACCCAAGGACCTTGATCAAAAATTGAAAATAAATAGGATTTTAATCAATGGCGTAATAAAAAGAACGATGTGAACTTAATTTATCCTTAAATAAATGCCTCCAATAACCAGATGGAATTACAGACTAAGAGATCAGTTTTTTTTCTTCTTCTCGTCTTTCAGCATCAACCCCTGCTTGACAATTGCATGGAACCCGGGATTGCAGCTCATTGCCGAAGAAAGCTTTGCAGAGTCTGAAGCAACGAAAGAAAACCAATGCTCACATGACTTCAAAGTTTAAAATCCATCAAAACTACCTCAAACGGAAGCAAGAAATCCAGAAGTTACCTTCCAAGAGAGGGAAAACCCGAGGCGGGTTGCAAGTAAACAGCCAGCAACCCAGCAAATCACACAAAGCAGAGCAGCCATGGAGCCAGCTTTTGCATCCAAACCGGCATGAAACACCGAAGCCAACAAGACGCCAATGTTGAAATTCACAGCAACATGGTTCCCAAACACTGAAAACCCGAAATGCAGCAGCTTTCGCAATCAATAACATTTTTGTATGACAAAGAACTCTACTGCATAATGCACCTACAACAAGGCCACTATTTCTTTTCCCATACAACATTGGAGGGAAAGTAGAAACATCGTTCTAATGTAAAACAAAACTAACTTTCAATTAACTAGGACAAGCGAACGTTATTATACGAACATAACCTAGCAAGAAAAATTAGGAAAATCCCATTCATTTTAAGCAGAAACAAAAGACACCACTGGGAAAAATTATGTTATTAATCAAAGGGAAAAACAAATCTCCGAGCTCAAACGCAGAATGGAGAAAGATTTATAAAGTCTCAGTTGAAGTCCTTCAATCTTTTCTTAAGCACATCCATTGATTTCTTACGAGCGCTTTGCTTGTTATTCCTGTTTGAAAGGCTCCCGAAAATACCATCAGCAGAATCCTTCAATTTCTCACAGATACTAGCTACCTTTTTATAATCCAGAGCATTGTAGTTCTTCTCCCTTATCACAGGATTCATGAAGTTCTCTGGCTGACTGCTCGACAAAAGGTTTATCAGTTGTCGTGCTTCTATCAAGCAACCTCTAAAACTACCTTCTTTGTAAATTTCGCTCAAGCCGGTACTCTGAAACCTCTCGTCTGCAAAATTCTCCAAGCTCTTCAAATCATTGTTGATACCCATAACTGCATTAGCGGTGAACCTCTTGACGCTATCACTTAGAAGAGTCGACACTATAGTGTTAGAAATGTGATCGAAAGCCCCACTACCGACCTTGTACAAAGCATCCAAAGGCAAAATTTGTTGTGCTGTCGACATAAGAGTATCGAGGTAAATAACAACTTCATTCATATACTCATTTCCATTCTGCGGCATTTCCTCCATAGTCCAATCGATATTCTCTGTAAGTGCCATGAACTCATCCAACTTAGTGTTTACCAGATTCAGCAAAGCAAGATAAGCTTCATCCCTTGAAGTCTTTAGAACCACCTTAGCAGTTAAACTAGCTTGAGGCCTCTCAACTGAACGGATTGGGATCCCACAAAGTTGGGCTGCATGACGAAGAAAATAGTCACAAGCTCTTTCAACTACAGATATGTTTGCAGCAATCTGCATGGCTTGAGAGACACCAATGTTACCACTATGAATTGTATTGAGTATCACCTCATTTAACACATCTATCAAGAGTTTGTCCAAATACTTCCTCACAACATCGTAATAACTAGTATGTGCCCCATGAGACAAGTAATCAACAGAACCTTTGATGAATGATCTGACAATTCGACAGGTGTCAGGTACTGCAGAGGAGAATGGTGCAATGTATGGAAAAGCCGGTATTATATCTGATGTCTGTAGATTGAATGACAGGACATTAATTTCGTAGTCAGTGTCCTTTTTCAAGACCATCTGTTCATATGTATCATTGGCAATAACATTTGCAATTTGTTGACGACACTCTTCTAAAAGAAGCTCGTGGTACTTCTCTCGGCTCTTGTCAAGCGTTTCAAGAAGTGGTCCCACTTCATACCCATATTGTCTGAGAGTAGAGCCAAGAAGAGTCACATAATCCTTCACCAAGAGAAGGTGGGTTACTGAATTCATATGGGAGAATTGCTCCTCTAACAAAGATTTCATTTTCGCTATAGCTGTGTCCCACATTGTTTCAACTCGCTCAGCTAACAGTAGGCCCCCAGCAGTCCTCAATACCCGATCCTCCACTATGAAGTATCCAGCAATTTGAGCCAAAAATGTTTGGTAGGATTCAACAAAAGGCTGTGCTGAAGAGATCTGCAAGTCTGAATTAAGCTGCAACAATCGATTTCTATAGTAATATTCCCAAAACTGCTCTTGGATTCCTAGGCAACTTTGGATGTGATATGCCCTGTATAGAGGAGTCAAGTCAACCTTCAAAATAGATTCTTCATCAATCTCTTCGACATCTAAAGTATATGTGAAATGTCCCAAACCCGAAATATTCTGCTCCTCAGCTTTCCTTTGGCGTTCGAGTGTTTCCTCATCCCTCTGACGGACTGATGCAGCATGGCCTATTGCTGTTTGTCCAATATCCTTTGCAGAACTCCTTATGTGAACCAGCCATTCATTAAATTGACTGGTTACTTTCTTCTCAATGTGCAATTTAATGATCGGAATTCTCTTCTCTATAACCATTCTTAGTGTCCTGACGGGAACTTTCTGCAAGTAATTTTTCTCAATTAAATCCAACGTTTTCAAAGCTGGGTAAAACTGTCCTTCAGATATGTGTTTATTAAACTTGACACAGAGCTCCAACACCTGTACGCAGTTCTTGGACATTTTGATAGCTTCAGTCACATTCTTTTTTATTGAATAAGATTCAAGAAGCTCCTCCAGTTTAATCAACAAAGCACTCCCAACCTCCTGCAACTTGAAATTATCGCTAGAGAGCTCGCTTTTCAGCTCCTCGGCGTCCACCAACACACCACGAAGCTCGTCAACTGCAAGAATGAACTCCTCATAATGAGTCTTGCAGAGCTCCTCAATTTCAACTTCCTTCTTTTTCACAACATGCTTGAGCTGGTGAAGGAGTGATTCCGGCCTCCCCATCTCAAATGCGTGCCGGACAATAGGACCGAGGTCATCCCCATTCCCAATCAATGTAGCAAGAACCAAGTCCTCACCAGTATCCCCATTCTCTGTAGGAATTCTTCTCCTCGCTTTTGACTCCATTATTCTGAAGAAAAAAAAAACATAAAACAAAACAAAACAAAACACTTCGAAATCAAATTACACACAATGAGAATAAAATTAAGTAGAAAATTAAGATGACCAAAAAACACAAGCAAAGCTACATCCTAAATTAACCCTAATTAAGTTACCCAATTACTAAATCAGAAAAATAATCAGCAAAACAGGGGGATTTGGGGATTCTAAAAAAGGGGGCTAAATCCACATGAGAACAACAACAACAACAATAAAATCAATAAAAATGGAAACTTTTTCTTAATATGTTACAGGAACACTCTATTTCACCCTAACTATCGACATTAATCACGCAATCACAGCCTAAAAAGGTGAAAAATCGAAACATCAGTAAGAAAAACCAAGATAAAAACAACCCAGAAAAGGGAAAAAAAAAAAAGGAATTCAATCAATCAATCCAAAAAATACAAGAAAAAAACATAGAACAAAAAACCCATATGTATTCTCGACAAAATGTGAAAGCTTTGATTGTTAAAAGCGATAACTTACAGAGACAAGCTGTTTATTTTCTTCTTCTCCTTCTTCTTCCTCCAAATCTAACAACAAAAATACGATGACTCCAAATAATTATTCGGAAAAAGGAAAAGCAAAAAGCAAAAAGCAAAGGGTTTGCTTTTCCGTTGTTTTACTTTCTGTATTTTTGCTTTTCTGCGTGCAACTTTTGGAGCTGGGAATTTGCCATTCCGCAACAAAGTTTTCAACTTTTCATCTTTTCGCGATGCTACCTATGTGTGTGAGGTGGACTCCGGTGTCTTTGGTCCATGGAGCTTTTCGTGCACTCGGCATCTTACTGGCGGGTGAAAGAGAAGGCGGGCGGGCCATTCATTTCTGGGTCCCATTTGTCTCTCATTTCTCGACCGGCTTCAAATGTTTTTTTTATGGTTGGACTAAAGTGAAAATTTGGAAAAATTTCAAGGACTACAATGTCATTTGACCCCTTCTAGGCAACCACTTCATTTCTCTCGTAGCAACATTTCCATGTTTCATTTTTCTATCTTTACACATAAAAAAAATTATTTATGTAAATAAATAAAAAAAATCATATAATAGATATACATAGACATATCCATAATAAGAATAATAAAAATGTGCAGAAATAAGTTTCTTTAGGTTTGTAGCTAGAATAGTTTATAAGATTGACATAACTCCTCATTTTAGTCTCAAGATTGAAAATCGATAGAAGTGGTCCTCAAATTTGTATATCATTAATCATTTTGATCCGTTTGTGAAAAATCTCTGTTAAATTGAGAGTATTTTTGTCTTATAAACATTTAACGGAAATTTTTCACAGATGGTGGACAAATTCATGGACCACTCTATCGATTTTCAATGTCAATGACCAATCTCAGTGACCATTTTAACTCACTCAAGTAGTTAAAACACATTCACTAATTTTTTCTTAAAAATAAAAAAAAAATAGAAAACCTCGAAAAAGCATTTACTACATGCATGCACTTGAAGTTCTATAGACGAACTCTTCTTGTTTCAATATTGTTTGTATAAAAAAAATTGTATATAGTCATTTATTACGTAAGTGATAGTATCAATGTGATTAATACTACTAGTCGGAATACTTCAAGATAACATTTTTAATTTAGAGCAAACGCGAGCAAATATTAGCCATTCTCTAAATCGAATGACTACTTTTGACGTGTTACAAAATGCTTAACATAATCTTGATTTTTGGATAACCTATCTCCCATAACTTCTGGAGCTTAACATAATCTTAATTATTGGATAGCCATTCTCTAAGAAAAATAATTCACTGCATTTTTTTTTTTTAAATTAGAAAACCTCAAAAAAGCATTTACTACATGCATGCACTTGAAGTTCTATAGCCGAACTCTTCTTTTTTCAATATTGTTTGCATAAATTTTTATTTTTTTGTATATAGTTATTTATTACGTAAGTGACAGTGTCAATGTGATTAATACTACTAGTTCAAATACTTCAAGATAACTTTTTAAATTTAGAGCAAACGAGCGAACCTTAATCATTCTCTAAGTCGAATGACTACTCTTGACGTGTTACAAAATGCTTAACATAATCTTGATTTTTGGATTACCTATCTCCCATAACTTCTACAGCTTAACATAATCTTAATTATTGGATAGCCATTCTCTAAGAAAACTAATCAAAAGACCAATTATACAAATGAATACATATTTTATTCCAGTTTCATTTGCATATGCCATGCACATGCCATAACTTACCTCATCAACCCTAAGATTCTAGGACCCACAACACAAGCGTTTACTATATGTTATATTATATGTACCCTGCCATAATTTAATTTATTTAAAGTTATTTACAAGGTAGCTTGTATTTTAGGAAATTATTATTAGCACTCCAAAATTCTAATTTGTCGCTCCACACTTTATATAATTATAAAAAAATA